AATTACAGCGGTGTTTATGCGAAAAATTTAGTTGTGTAGAGGGCCAGAATGATAATTGCTTCAATTACTCATCGTTTTGCTCAGTTTTTTTTTTCGTTCAAGATCATTTTATTTGTGAATAAATACGCCTATCTTTGCACAAAATCAAAATGGTATTTGAATACGGTACAAACTTTTCGATAAGCGAGAGGTAGTGAATGAATTTCTTTTTTTATACACTGCCTTCCCGAAAAAGTGAATAATTCCTGCCTCCTTTTTCCTTTTCTTTGGAATTGATCCAGATAGTCTGGACTTTATTCATTTCCAAGGAATGCATATAGGTTAGATAGTTCTTTGAATATTTGCTGTAGCATTTTCAACAAGTGCGCATTGTGCGTCAGCTGGAAGGTGGTAAAAAAATGCTGAAGAATGCATTAATTACCTCGGTTTCTTTATTCGCATTCTTTGATCAGCTGTTGTTTCATTGTCTTGTGTCATCTAGTTATTCATGTAGCTGGCAGTTTCTTCATTCTTAATTTTGGACCGTGCGAGCGGATCCTTCCAAACATTACAGATCATTCCTGTGCTCTTTTAACATTGTGAGGGTGCTGCTCAGTGGTCTCTTTGTCCGTCTGTTTATTATCCTTTCCGCATTTTTAGCCCAGCTATTTTTCCTGGCTAATGTTGTCTTGATACTGTCGCGCCAGCTTGTTGCAGACTCCGTTTTGCGTTTCACTAGTGACTAAGATGAAGGTGAATGTTCTTGAGTTCTTGCAGCAAAAAATCCACTGATTTGTCGCTGCTGAGCATCCTGACCTTAAAGCCATTTTTAATACACGGAATTAGTACGCGGAATTGGCGGTTACCATTACCGGATAGTCGGCCTACTGGTGGTCCTGGCATGTATTTAAAGCTTTCGTTTTCTTCGGCTTTTTTTTGGGAAGAAAAAAGAGAGTGAATTCGGAACTTGGCCTCTCTCGAAAGATGTAGATCGAACTTTATTTACATTATTTGAATAAAATGTTCCATTAAATTATAAAAACGAAGTATTCCGTAATTGAAGAGGCAGTCTGTTGTGTGACACTGCCTACTAATTGTTTGGGATTACGAATTTTTTAAAATCTGATGCTTTAGGATGTGCAACATCCGATACTATTCCTCAGCGCGATTACGTATTGGATTTCAGCAAATACAAATCCTCAGCTTCTGAATTTTTTCATGATCCACGTAGGTGGTTTCAGTTGACGTCAAACAACGCTTTCCTGGAACTTTTGTTACAGGTATATTTAGCAAAATTTTTGCATTAAGTTCTGTGAAGATTTTTTCTCACTGATAGTAACTTTCCTAGCAACCTAATTACTTTTTAGATACCTTTGGCAGTAATGGAAACAACAAGTGACAGTCGGCGTGTTATTGATGTACAGTTAAAAACCCATTGCCACAGTGTTATCAACACAGCTAGTGATATGATTATCATGGAGCTCGCGGAATACATCTCAAAAGCTGAGAATGCAGTGAGCTTATTCTTCAGATAGCATTCTTGGAGAAATAAGACAGTGCCTCACCCCATAATTCCTGCTGATTCTGTATTAATTGCTTTCATCAAGCCTCTTTTCAGACGGCTGCAGCCGATTTTGATCTTGCGAAAAGTGAGGCGCTGAAACCGGAAACTATGCAAAATTTTGCGGGGCAAGCGTATAAGAAGTTGACGCGCTTGTGGCCAGAAGTAAGTTTCCCTGTTCCTTTCCACGGATTTTGCTTACTGATGTTTAGTGTTGGATTTATACGAATTCTTCGTTGTTAATTCTTCGTTGAAATTTTGGTCCTTCATATGTGTTATTCTACACCTTTTTTTAATTTCAGATAAAAAAATGTTTCGATTTGTATATCGGCGTTAAAGAAACTGAAGAAATTCTTTTACAGCCGATAAAAAAGAAGATCATTGACGTGAGTTCTTTCACCGTATACATTTTTCTGCTTCTAAAGACCGTTACCTTAGGGTTTTTATATTAGCTTTTGTTTCAACATCCACGACTTTTTGAAAACTGAAGAGCTTTGCCTTTTCTCTACATACATAAGTTCATTACAATAAGATTATGGTTTAATTTATGGTAATTGATAAATTGTGGTAGCAAATAAAAACTAAACAGAGGAACGGTGAATTGGGATGCTTCGGTCCACGAAGTCATACATTCCAAACCAGT